ATAGGATGTGATATATGATGATATTTTATGATTTGTTTAGTGATCTTCCATAGATAATTGTCATGAGAAGAGAGAGAAGTGAGGTAGGAGTTGAAGGATTGGGATCTGAAGGTGATCAATTCTAGCTTTAATTGTTTGCAAAAATAATTATAGGATTGGCGATCGGTGGGGTGTCTAGTACGTTGACTTAGTAATCTGGCCCTCCGTTCGGTATGGATTAGGTCTATGAGGTGTTGAGGTAACTTATTTTTCTTGGGAGTTCTTGAGGAGTGGTTTGGAGAGGAAGCAGTCCAGATTGCTTGTTGGATAGTGGTGGTAAAAAAGTGTACGGCATTGTCAAGGTCATCTGGGATTTTCAGGGTTATTCTTAGGTCAATTTTATCGGAAAGGATTCATTGAAAAAGTTTCCAGTTAACTGGGCCTCTGATAAATTACGGTGGAGAAGACTTAGGAATAGGAGCTAGAGATAATTGCAGTAATAATGGGCTATGATCTGAGGATACTTCGGCAAGACGGGTGAGGGAATGATTGAGGGGACCTAAGTCACTGTGGATGAAAAAAATCAAGGATATCGGGATTGCGGTTAGGATCTGTGGACCTGTAGGTAGGGGAGTTAGGAGGAAGGGTACTGGAACGTTGAGAGTTGAGTGCAGATAACAATGCTCTGCCACGAGAATTCGTGGTTCTAAAACCCCATTGATGATGTTTGGCGTTTTTTTAAATTTCTTTATTGAGTATTATAACAATCTGTCTCTTGGACATTGGTTATAGTGAGGTAGGATGACATTCACACTATATGCACAAAAAAATAAAATAAATCTCCAGCGTTAAGCGTTTTCTCTTAAGCGTTAAATCTCTTAATCTCTTAAGCGTTTAAATCTCCACCCAGGATGAAGTGATGACCTAAGAAGTTGAGAAGAAAACTGAACTGGATATTGGATATGGATCTGTTAGGAGGGCAATATGCTGATGCTATGGATAAGCTGGGAAAGGAGAAGGTTTTGATTACGATAATGGGAGCTGGTGATAAGAAAGGCATTTGTGTACAATAATAGCAGTACCGGCATGTGCTTAAAAGGAGAGATGAGGTGAGATACGAGATTTGTGAGGAGTGATATGAGTGGAGTAACTAAAGATTTGAAATCGGTGAGGAAAGATGCCAACAAACAGATGAAATCTGTTGCATTTGAAGGAGGAGGGATATGATGAATTTGTTGTTGATGGTTAGGTATATTCGGATCAATAGGATTTTGAGGTTGGGGTTGAGGTTGTTGTTGCAGCAAGGCTTGACAGTTATCGGTTGAGTTCTTACCTCTAAGTAGCTGGGAAAATGATACACTATTGTTTACTATTCTAGAAGGCTCTCTCTCTCTCTCTCTCTTTGTGGTCTTCCTGCTTCATCTTGAATCCGGTTTTTCTGGTGTCTGAATTAGAGATTCTTGTAAATTTGGCATCCTTTGTAGTTGGCCGGGTGTCCCTCCAGGCATAGTGCACACACTGCAGGATCTTGTATCGGTTTGGTGCACTGCACAGATTTGTGCTGTTCGCCGCATTTCACGAAACGCGGTAGATGGTGGCAATAAGTCTTCGTGTGGCCTGACAATTATGGCACTGCACGATTACTCTCTTGGGGGTATGGTTTCTCTAATTTCACCATTGTGTAATATAATCTTTTGATATCGTATATTTTCTCTATACCGGGTGATGGCTCCAGATCCACGAAAAATAAAGGTAGTGGAACTTTTTTTTTTACTCCAGGATGCTCCTGATTCTCCTTCAGAACGTTGGTTACCTGACGTACTTTCAAACCAAGCGCCGCTAGTTCTTCTTTTATCACTTGGGTTGGGGTTGAGGAGTGTAAATGTCTTATTACTACTTGTAATGATCTCTCCTGCCTAAGCTAGTACGTATGATTACGTATGGCACGGATGATACAGCTGTGTGGTGTATGATGGCCTCTCGGTGGAGCTCCGTGATAGACTGAAAAGATTAATGAATAGCTGCGTAAGATTTGTTATCGGTGCCCCGAGGTACTCCCATGTCTCTCACCACTATACTGAGTTAAGGTGACTCTTCCTCTCCTTTAGAAGACAATATTTCCTAGGTACGTTCCTCTATCAAATCATTAACAACCATCTTCCTTCTTACGCCTACAACCTTCTCCAATTCAAGTCCTCAGTCCATTCCCTTTCAACAAGATCTCGACCTTCTGACCTCTACATCCCTTCGCACAGATCTGCCTCATTTCAGAATTCCTTTATAGCTCGCGCTGTCAATTTCTGGAATTCTCTACCTATCAAAATTCGGCATTCCCCCACCATATCCACATTCAAATCTCTCCTATTCCAATTCTTATCCCAAAAACAGTCAGATACTTGCTAAAATTTGGATATTATACATTTCTAGTCATCATCAAACGATAGTGCTATTCTATACTGTGAACTTCACTAGGGATATTACAAGATTTTCCGGCTCTTAAGGTCACTGACCGCATCTATTGTTTATTTTTTTTTTTTATTATTTTTATTGGTATATAATTAAATCTGTACCTCTAGCATTTGACAATGAAAAGTCTACATATTAATCATTATTTAAAGACACTGATATTTTATATTGTCAGCTTTGTCTTTTCTTTGTTAGCAGAAACACACCTCATTTTAAAGAAGAACTCAATGTATTTTTTATTATTTTATTTTTCAAAAGAGTATAATTATAATTTTTCCTACTGTACATAGTCTAAAGTGTTTTATCATAATTTTAAGTGTTTTGTATATAGATTATTTTTATTTTTTGTATATAGCTTGTTTAAATAATATTTTCTTTACTTTCTCTTCTTTATTATTGTTTTATTTTGGCCAGATGTAGTATTTTAATTATGTTCTATTTTGTTATTCTAAAGGGACTTTGTCCCAGAATAAAGTTATTTTCTATTTCTATTTCTATGAAAATTTGTATTCGTTTTTGAGAGGTACTTCACTATATTCGGTAGGTTTCAGCAGTATCTGGTGTTATTTTTGTATCGTTGGTCCTGTTAAGGCATGAATAACTGCCAGAGCAGATTTTATTTAGTTTGGTGCAGAACAACTGGAAATTTTTGATATTTTTCACAAATATCGGAGGAGGCTTTGGTTCTGTGGGCATAGCTGCAGACTCCATTACCTCTCAGTCATTTTTAATCATGAATTTTCTGGTTCTGAAGTGTTCACTTTTGTTGTTGGAAATGTTTATCGTAGGCAGCGACGAGTTCTTTGTTTTGCTGGTGAACTAACACCGCCTGACGGAATCTTCTTGGGCACCTTACTGGTGCTACTTCTTTCTTTCTTCTCTTATGGTACTATACCGCATACCATAAGAGAAGAAAGAAAGAAAGAAAACAAATATATAAAAAACTAAAAAAAATATATCAAACAGCAATACCAACTGCTCTGATGTACACGTGAAATTTATTCAATGAAAAATCTGAGAGAATCCGCTGGAAAGTACGCAAATACTGAGAGACCACTTGAGAGCACAGCTGATCCACTGCCTTCTCCGAAAAGAACAAAGAAAAGTTGTGAAGTCACAAGAAATAGTACACGGTGACGTCACAGGTGTGGTAGCTCTTGACTGAGAATACTAGAAAGGCCTACTACCTCTTTGGGAAACCGAGAGGCGGGAGCAAAGTCAATAAAACTACCAGGTTCCCTCTCTCAGAAATACGTGGTTGAGGAACTTGCATTGTGACGAAGTCACTAGACTATATTAATGTGCTTTTTTTTTTTTAGTTTTACTGGGGTAATTTATTGAAAAGAATATTTTTCTGTGTGCTTGACGTTTAATTTAAGATAATTTCAAGCAGTAAGCAGTAAATACGACGAGCAACCTAGAATAAAATGCTATGAAAATTACAGGCTAGATCTCAGAGGATAAGAACGAAATTAATAATAAGATTATTTTTAATTTTTTTATTTCAAAATCTCTGTAAATAATATACAAATATATTACCTGAATAGAAAAAACTGTAATTTTGTTTGTAGATCTCGTGGGTATTTCTTTTAATATTATAAGGGTGAAGATCTTTGTCAGAATTTGCAGTCAAAATTTCTTTAAATTTAATTTAAAAAATAAATAAATTTTTACTGCAAATTCTGATGATTTATTTTCACCTTATTATCTTAACAGTCAAATACTTATCCGTCTCTAAAATAATATTATAACGAGTATTTCTTTTTTCTTTTTAATAACATGCTACAGAGAATTCGTTTATTCTTACTAGATTTCTTGTATTTCTCATAATAACATAATTATTAATAGAATTTTATAGAATGATTGGTACAAGATGCGCGGTTGCATCTTGCAACAATAATTTAATTGACGTAAAGAAGATGGGAAAGAAAATTTCATTTCATACTTTTCCAAAGGACGCTCGAAGAAAAGATTGGATTTTAAAATGTAAGCGAGCTGGTAAATCATTTAATCCAGCTACTTCTTGCATTTGTTCAGCGCACTTTTCAGATGAATGTTTTGAAAGAGCTTTAAAAACAGAATCTGTAAAAAAAATTGAATAATCTTTTTCTAAGGAAACAAAATGTAGAAATTGATGAAGAACTGGTAAAGGCTTTCTTTCAGCAACGGGTATTTATTAGAATCAAATTTTTAAATACCCAAAGATTTCTACAATCTGTTCATGGAGAAATAATACATTTTGCCACACTTAAGGGCACTGAGTACTAAGGCTGAGAGAGGCACATTTATATCGTATATACAATACAATAAAAAAATAAATAAACAAATAAAATATATACATCTATATAACAAAGGTAAAAACTATAATAAACCATGGAAATGTAGCTTAGAGTTAAAATTAAATAAAATACAGAAATTCGTAGCAAAATTAAATAAATTATAAGTAAAAGAAATAAATAGAAAAACATTCATACTTAATTACAATCTGGCAAGAGATCTCTGAGTCCAGCCCTTTCCCCCAAGAGTGAAGGAAAAAGCGAGACTCTAAGAGATCACAGCGCTTCTTTCTCAACCGCGTCGCCGGCATTACCAGTCCGGTGGAGACTGAGAGAGGGCAATAAAACCACAAACACTCATGACTTTACAACAATTAAGTAAACATAAAATCAAAGGCAAAAAACTTGAGAAAAAAATCACTACTTATAGCATTAATTATGACATAAAAATGTAATATTTACAAAAATTCACGGAAAGAAAATGTTTCTTTAATTTTAGATTAAATAATTTGTCCTTTTTTAAAAATATTTCTATTATGCTCTGTATTTATTTGAAACATTTAAAAATTTTATTGTGGTACTTAGCATAAAATTATACATGAACTTGAATGGCTCTGGTTCAGTGAAAGTTCTAGTTTCAGTGATTTTGTTACTTTTATTATTGGCTGCAACAGAATTGTTGCTGGATGTGTTAGTACGTGGTTTAGTGTCAGGTTTCATAGCTGAATTATTACTATTGCTAGTTTTTGATTGTTTATTTACTTTGAGTGATTGCTTTGTTTTTTTATTAGGTGAGTTGCCCGCCGAACCGGGGGCAGAGTTTCTATGGCGCTTTTGGAAAGTTCGCCTTGTTAAATATTGAGAATTTGTCTCACTGATTTCGGAGAAAGGAGTCTCTTCATCTGATTCGTCAAAAGAAATGTTCTTATCAGATTCCATACCTCTAAATAATAATATATACAAAAAGAAGAGAGAAAAAAAAAGTAACACTAAGAAAATTTACAAAACAGATACTTAATAACTAATCTATTTACAAATCTATATACAAATATTTAAAAAAAACATTTTCTAAAACAAAACCAAGCTCATTAGGTCATTATCGCTCTTCTTAGACTCTCCATTAAACAGCTGATATCATGTCATATTGCTTTTATTTTTTATTGATTAAATTAATAGGACTATTTCAATATATTAATTTTAAATAATAAATAAAGCATAAATTTACAATTTATTACTATAATCAAATCAAACAAATAAAAATCTCATGTTTCAGGTTTTTAGTAATGCAGAGAATACTGCAGTAAAAAACATCAAGGAAACTAATGTATTTAATTTTGTGCGGCTAGTTGTTCTCCGACTTATATATGGCTTCGCTAAAATGTTGGGATTTAAAGAAAACATTTCAGACTTTGCGGATGGAGCTCTTGTTCCTCCAGGAGAAGATGATGATTATAGCTTTGAAGACTATGACAGACAGTATGAACTTGACTATAGATAATACTCAAAGGCTCATGTATATTGTTATCAATAAAATGACTATATTTATATTAATTATATAAAATACAAATAAGTTTTATGATATTTATGTTCAGTTAATAGTTTAAAAATATACCAATAAAATAAATGTACTAATTCGTAATAAAAAAATAGAAATCTATGGTTAAATATCATGCATTGGATCAAAGTGATAAGAGATTTGTTTTGAATTAATTTATTTTACCCTGATATAAAATAAAAACTAAAAAACACTAAAACCTGTAGGAATCAAATTTTTCACCCAGAGTAACAGATCACAATAATACAGAGAGGGCTAGGGCTAGGTATGAAGTCCGAGTCACCCTTAAACTAAAGGTAAGAAAACAATGTCTGGAGTGAAATATGTCATTAATTATCCAAAACATCTACTGAATTAGAAATTTCAAATTGGTTTTGAAAACTGAAATAAGAGTGAAAATTTCACTGTATAACTACTGCTACTTATTGAGGCCAGTCACACTACATAAAAGAACTAATTTACATATAGATAAAACTGTTTCATACATAAATATGATTAATATAAAATTATAAATTAATGAACTCATTTCATCAACTGTTTCCAAGTATTTCAGATATACTAAAATTTTATTTCACATATAATAAAAGTATATAGCGTAATTGGAAAATTTAAAGTAAATAAATAACTACAATTAAAATATTTAAGAAATTAACTTTATTCTACTAAAAATATATTCATTAACATAATGCCAGATATAATCCATATATATTTAATTTAGCTTGGTTCCCTTGATAATTCTTGATATTGATCGATTTCTTAAATAATTTAAGAACAATAACTTTGTTAATAGAATGTAATATTAAAAATGCTTTCAGTTAATCCTTCAGTGGTTAGCTGAACATATAGTTTTGAGACTTTCTATCACTTTGCCTTTATTTAAATTTGAAAATAAGTTAAGACAAAGGAATACAATCTATTTGGTAAGAAATTACTCCAATAGTGAACAAGTTAATTAGTTTCTATATCACAGATAATACAAAAACTGTTGTCTCCTAGGTCTCGTGGACTCGAAGAGACCACTGATGGATTAAAGCTATGATGAAAAAAAGAATCATATAAATTATTAATGTGAAGACAGGTTGTTATGGAAGCACTGATAGTCTAACTTTTTAATTTAGTTTATATCCTTCAATAAATAATTTTTGAGCACTGAAATAGATAATGAAAGTTTAATTTTGAAAATCAACAATCAGTCTTTCCAGATAAAATTGTAAGGTACAATTTTTATGAATTCTTCTTATTCATGTACAAAGAATACATTACAACACTATATGTAACACCAAATGAAACTAGGAAATAATCAGTATAATAATAAATAAGCAATAATAAGATATTACTTCATTAACAATTACATAAAATGAACATCACATTAATCTTTTAGAAAACTAATCATAAACTTTATAGAACAAAATATAATAGTTGAATTTAATTGAGTTTAATGAAAAGCATATGATAAAAGCAACAATGTGCAGATAAAAATAACTATTCCAATAATAATGGAATCTCGCCTTTTATGAATATTAATACGATTCACAAGACTATTTACAACTGGAAACCTATTGGCAATATCATGGAGTCGAACTTGAAGTCTTTTCATAGTTAGCCTTTGTGAAATAAGATTTTCTCTAGTTTCAACTGCAATATTAATTTGATCGTCAATTAATCTTTCAGAACTGAAAAATATAAAATGTATGAGTTTTTTTAAATAATAAAACTCATAAATTAACACATTTATCAAGTAACCAGAAACCAGCATGACTATGAAATAAAAATAATATAACTGTTATAAAGAGTTATTGTTAAAATATAATTAACTTAAATATAAAAAAATATAAATAATTGTTGAAGCTTAGTGCTTGTTTATTTAAGTGTTTAAAATAACTTATCATTTTGATAGAACAACGAAACCAACCATAAAATATACCAAAACAATGAACCATGATTCATCCATCACTCTGCTTCATTTACAGCCTCAGAAATTGATTCTCTGATTTTTCAGAAAATAATTGAAGCAACTGTTTGTTTAATAAAGCAGCATCTATAATTACTCCAAGTGACTCAACCTTAACTTAATGTGAACAATATAAATTCACCTTACCAGTTTAGCTGATGCTAGACTGATTCATTTAATACACCTTTATACCTTTATGGGGCAAAAAAAAATAATAAATAAAAAACTATGTTTTTTAGTATGACAGTGTTAACAGTGTATTTAATCGTAGCCATTAAATAGTGTGATATTTACCTAAGCAGGTGTTCATTTTCCTTCAAATTTAACTCCAATCTCCTATTTAAACTATTCTTTTGTGTTCTGGAAACAAATTTTAACCCAGTTATTTAATCAATTAAACACCACAGTTATTTGATTAATTGATTAATCAAAATATTTAATTACTTTGATTAGTTACTTAATCAAAATATAGTTAATTTGATTAGTAACTTAATCAAAATATATAGTTAGATAATGTTTATTTGCACAGTTTAAACAATAATTTTTAAAACATAATATTGAAACTTTATTTAACAATAAAATCAAATACAATTAAAATAATTATCGATGACGGATATGTAATAATTTATGGGGAGAAATAATATTTAGATAAATACAAATTTGAAAAATAAAATCAAGTGCAGATATACATATATTTGGATTGCATATTAACAGTTTTCATTAAAAAATCAAAAACATTACCATGAACATACCAGATGAAACAGGGCTTTCAGCAACTTTATAGCAACTCTATTTTTATAAATGCTATCCAATTTATCAGACCAAAGGTTTATCAAACATCTTCATCATACAATCAAACTACCCTAGCTTTATTCTTTCTTTGTTTTTATAAGAATTTTTCTAATAATAGATTTGGATGGATGCATTCTCACCTTATTGTGGCAATATGTCTGACCTAGCAAAGGCTTATTAATTTAATATGTCAAACTAAATCAATATTCCTGTAATAAACCAAGATCTCCGTCCCGACTACTTTGCAATATCCAGGTATCATTTAGGGACAAACCAGATCATCGAATCACATGGTATATAAATAGAAATCAGAGATTTTAAATAGGATTTCTTTGAACACAGAACCCAATAAAAAACAAATTTCATAATAATTAGAATTGCAGGACTGATATCTAGTATTAAGAGAAAAAAAAGAAGCTGTAAAAAAAATTGTACTCAATTAAAGATTATTTTACAGACTAATAATTTGTTTGTATTAAATCAAAAGATCAGAAACTAAAAAAATAGCATTGGAATTAATAATAAAAAAAGTGTTCAGTATCAAATAGCAGGGAGTCTATGATGACAAGCTCATTAGATTAACATTTTTCAGAGAAACACAGTTCAAAGAGTTACGCATTCAATTTTTATCTGGATCATTAGTGTAGTATGGATACAAATGAAAAAAAAACTCCGGTTTTTAGGGTTTTAAAATTATATACCACAGGTGGGAAACCTACAGCATCTAGGTCACATATGGCCTCTAAACGTTTTTGCACAATATTTATTAATCAGTTAATATTTAATTAATTAGGTTACAAAAATTTGAAAATTAATAGAAACAAATTGAATATAGGAGGTATATGGTTATGTATATTGTGATAAGTAAAATTGTAAGCATAAGATATAGAAAATTGCTGTGGCTTCCATTAGCATTGCCTAACGTTAAAAAGGCCTCCAATGACAAAAAGTTTCACAACTTATATTATATAATAAACTAGCTGATTGATAAGTTTGTTAAACTTTTTTTTTTATAATGAATTTTATAATGGATCAGTTTTTTTTTCAAGAAAATTACATACTGGACGGACTTTTTCTTTTTTATTTCCTTGGATGATATTTATTGGAAGATTTTGCATATTACAAAAGCTATATAAATCCATTTACATATAACTAATTAAGATTTAATGAAGTAGAAATAAAAAATCCTTACTCATACTGCCTTGAAAATAATTCTTCCTTTTCTTTATCGAAATGGTAATGATCAAGAATTCCTTTGAGCTCTGATTTGTAATGCATAAGCCTTTCCCTATGAATTTGCCTGGTATGGGTTTGGACTTCATCAAAATTAATTGGTGATATTACTTCTCCAAGTTCATCATTGATCTCTCCAAGCTAAAAAACAAACAAGCGAACATATATACACACCTGAGCATATAATAAAACTTCTCAGTAGCCGACACCGAAGGGGAATCAAAGTTTGTAGAGAGATGTCCATTTTAGAGTAAAACTGGAATTAAAGAACAATAAAAGTTTATCCGATTAAAATAGTATTTCACGAGTCATATAAATGAAATCATTTAAAAAACTTTGGTGTAGAGATAGTTGACTGTGATTATGATATGAGAGAGAGCTGGTCGGGGGGTGCGGTCAATTACATACTATAAACTATAATAGTATTTTATTAGTCATGCCGAGGTTTCGACTCACGTTGTAGGTCTTCATCAGGGCTACAAAAGATTCAAAATATAAAAGGTACACAGTGAAAATAAAACAAATGAATTAATAATAGACATTAGATAAGCAACAATTGTGTGATAAAGAAATAATAAGATGACAGTGATATAGTGAGTGATAATATAGTTAAAATATCAAGTATTATATGTATAGAAGATACAAACAAAATAGAAAAAGACTGTGAATAAAAATAGATAACACAGATGAATATAGCGTGTAAGTTAAAAGCAAATAGATTGTGATAAAAAAGGTAAGATATGAATGGATAACAAACTAGTAAAGATTACACTTGATAACTGTAGGTTAATCGACAAAGAAAATTAGGGTTAACAAATAAAGAAATTGAAGAACTAATAAGTAATGAACAAGTAAGGCCGACCGGCCACCGAAAGAGCAGTGGAGCCGAGCTGAGTCAGCTTCCAAAACCAAACCAAAGGTTTTCAATGACAGGCCAGCCACCAGAAGCGGAGCTGAGCTGAGCGCAGTTGAGTGGCGTAGCAAGTCACTTCAGCCCAGCTTTGGCTCGACCAAGGTTCGGTTTTGGAAGCTAACTCCACTGTGCTCAGCTTCCCCCACCACACCTACTCACCACTGCCTTATAACCATATGGCTTTGTCCTTCAGTGTCATCCTTTTTTCCACTTGTTTTCACTGCACAACCTCTCAAATTACTTTATTTGGTTCAGAATGAAATAGGCAATGCATGTGGAAAAATTCTTAATCGAATGTATTGGGTCGGCAAATAAGTCCTTTTGGTTTTCTGTTTATTTTTTTCACTATGATACACTTCTTATCTAATGATTTCATCCCTAAGGTGAATTGTTTGTAATATGTCAGCAACTATATCTGTTAACTCTTGTTGAAACTGGCTTAGTATTGTGTTTGCTATTGTACTGTGAATATGGAAGAAAATATCATTGATTATCGGCATATTTTGTTGTATTATTTTAAAAAAGATAAGTGTGCTGCAGCAGCTCATAGAAAAATTTGCAGTGTTTATGCGAATGATACCTTAACCAAATGCACATGTCAAAATTGGTTTGCTAAATTTCATTCAGGAAATTTTGACATCAATGATGCTCAACAGTCTGGCTGCCCATATGAAATTGAAACGAGCAATTTTAATGCCATTGTTAATAAAAATCCCACCCAATCAGTGCGAGAGATTGCTATGGCTCTAAACGTGTCGCACACAAGTGTAGAAAATCATTTGCACAAGCTCGGCTATGTTTCCAGGCTTAATGTTTGGGTCCCTCATTCTCTAGCCGAATAAATATATAATTAGGAAGGAACATTAAATTAATTTTATGAGAAAACAATTATGAACAAAAAAAAAATTATTTATATATGTTATACAATACACATATATAAATAAATATATATGCCAAATATCGATGTGGCAGTCCTCAGTGAAACTAAAATCAAAGGAAGTTACAATGAACTTTCAGGAGATTTCGTGTATATCTACAGTGGAGTGGAAAAAAGTGAGAGAGCTAGAGCAGGGGTTGCAGTGGTGATTAACAAAAGATTGCGCAGGTATATTAAAAATTATGAATGTGTAAATGAAAGAATAATTAAACTTGAAATGGCATTGTTTGGAGAAGAGGTTGTTATTTTTGGGATCTATGCTCCAACTGAAGATTCCAAGCAATCCATAAAAGACACGTTTTTCGATGATATTTGCGACTTGATAGAGCGAACACCTGATCGTAAGATTGTTATCTGTTTGGGCGACTTCAACGGACGTGTTGACAGCAAGTTCAACGATGAGACCGTGGGACGCTTTGGAGAAGAGGTAACTAACGATAACGGTGCAAGATTAATAAGTTTATGTAGCAATTAAACATGAAAATGTTAAATGGATTCTTCAAGCATAAAGAAATTCACAAATTCTCCTGGCACCAGCCCACTAAAGGTCTAAAATCAATCATAGATTATATAATCCTCAGGCGCACTACTAGGATAAAGGTAAACGATGTTAGAGTGATGAGAGGGGCGGAATGTTTCAAACCCCATAATCTTCTTAGAAACTCTCCAGTGACCAGAGGAAATTCAGACTCTTCGAAAACGATTCGATACTCAAATGAGAGTATGAAAAATCAAGAATCAGTAAAAGGACTGTTCCAAAGCCGACTGATGGAGAAATTGAATCATGAGAAAGGTCTGAATGATCGACTAAATTAAGAAAATATAGTAAAGTGCCTGCATGCCGCAGCTTTAGAAGCTGTCGGAGAGGAAAGGAAAGAGGTTAGAGGAAAAAACAAGCCTTGGTGGAATGAGGATGCTGAAGTGGCTGTTCAAGAGAAAAAATATTTATACAATAAATGGTTGAGCTCTAAAAATGAGAAGGACCTGAGGGAATATAGAAATGCCTGTAAAAAAGTAAAAGCTATTAGAAGGAAGGCTTTAAATATCTATTGGGAGAAAACCTGCAAGTATGTGGACACTTACATTGATGGACAAAAGTCTAGTGCTGCTTGGAGGACATTAAAAAAATTGAAAAATCCCAAAAGATGTGGAGATAACTTCCGATTGATCAAAGAGCAGCAATGGGTGAATTACTTTGAAGAATTATCTCATGAGGAGCGACCCGAATTCGCATGGAACCAATCCGATGAAATAATATTAAATAAGGAAGATATACCGCCAGTCACAATCATAGAACTGGATTCAGTTCTCAAAGGAATGAAAAATAGAAAATCTCCCGGCCCTGGTTCTATTCCAATTGAATTAATTAAAGCAGGCCCGACCGAACTCAAAATGGCACTGGCAGAAAGTATGACACTTCTGTTAAATGGTGGAGAGATTCCTGAAGAATGGAAACAGGGTTATATCATTCCAGTTTTCAAAAAAGGCCAAAAGAAAGACGTTTCCAACTACAGAGGTATTACTGTTACCAGCTTGCTGAGTAGATTATACGGCCGGATAATTAAAAGCAGAATTGAAAATGATTTAAAGGAAGAGATCAGCGAGGAACAGGCGGGTTTTCGAGCTGGAAGATCATGCACTGATCACATTTTTAGTCTCTCACAACTTATAGAAAAGAGGATGGCCCACGACCGTGAACTCCATATGATATTTGTAGATTTACACAAGGCCTATGATTCAGTACCTCTAGCGAAATTGTGGAAAGCTTTGGAAGCCACATCCATTAAGAGATACCTCATCAGAGCAATTCAAGAGCTCTATAAAAATATAAAGGGGGCTATAAAAATAGAAGATAGAATGTCTAGAAGCTTCTTCATTAACAAAGGATTGAAACAGGGCTGCTGCCTTTCACCCCTGATTTTCAACATTTATATAGAACAAGCCCTTAAAAACTGGAAAAGATCGTGCTGTGGAATAGGTGTTCAAATCGGGAATAATGTCATCTACAATTTGCAGTATGCCGATGATCAAGTCATAATCGCATCGGATCCGGATGATGTTAGCTATATGATGAGGAAGTTGCTAGACACGTATTCCAGATGGGGTCTGAAAATCAGTGAAAGTAAAACAGAGTATATGGTTTTCAACGCTCCAAATTTGCCCCTTGAAATTGATGACTGGAGGCTAAATGTCAGCCAGCAGTTCAAGTACCTCGGATACTGGTTATCTTCAAAGGGTGGTAGTGAGGTTGATATCGAACATAAAATAAATAATGGGAAAAGAATAATAAGTTCGATAAATTCAACCCTATGGAGTAAAGAAATAAGATTAGAAACTAAAAAGAAGATATACCATTCCTTTGTAGAAAGCGTAGCCACTTACGGATCAGAAGTCTGGACACTGACAAAAAAGATGGAAAATAAGTTGCTTTCCATGGAAATGGATTTCTGGAGAAGAAGCTGTGGCATATCCAGAATCGAGCGGATCCCAAACGCAGCTATTAGAGACAAGGTCGGATGTCAAAAGAACATCCTTCACCTGATCGGGACCAAACGGTTAAAGTGGTATGGCCACTTAATGCGGATGGATGAGAACCGCTGGCCAAAGAAAATTTATAACTATATGCCACCTGAAAGAAGGAAGCGTGGAAGGCCAAAGAAGAAATGGATAGAGGACGTGGAGGAAAGCATGGCAGCCAGAGGGCTTCGTGAAGGAGATTGGATGGACAGGGAGCAGTGGCTTTTGGGTGTTGGGGATATGACTCCTTAAGTTGTATAAAACCCAAATATAAAAAAAAATACAATACACAATGGTATTTTAAACTATAAAAAACACAGAAGAGGAATGTAAGAAATGAAATAGGTCTAAAATATACACAATCTTGTAGATGGAAAAAAAGAAAAATGGATAAAAACAACAAACAATCTCTTATTTTTTCTGCATCACCACACAATGCTATGCCAAAAGTGATACTGAATCATTCAAATTCATAAATAATTAACAACAAATAAAATAAAATAATGGTATATGAAAAGAAAAAAAAAATTATCGTTGATACATGATACATAATTAACCAGCAAGTATTTAGTATACATAATTGTGAAGAGGAATTAGAATAAGAGGATTTTGAATGTGGATAAGGATGGTGCATGGTGGATTTTAAGTGAGATGGAATTCCAAAAGGTGGAGGAGCGGACAATGAAAGAATGTTGAAATGAAGCAGATCTATGGAAAGGGGTGTAAAGGTCAGAAGGCCGAGATCTTGTGGAGAGGGAGTGGACAGATGATTTA